ATATGGTCTGTCTTGGTGAATGTTCCATGAACACTTGAAAAGAATGTGTATTCTAATGTTATTGTGGATTGTATTATAAATGTAATGAGATCCAGTTGTTGATGGTGTGGTTCAGCTCTTCTCCATCCTTGCTAATTTCTGTCTGCTCATTCTACCTATTACTGGAAGAGGACTGTTGTCTCTCCAGCTGTAATTGTGGATTTGACAACTTCTTTCAGTTCTATCCACAGTTGTTACATGTACTTGGAAGCTCTGTTGTTAAGTGCATGCACATTTAGGATGATTCTTTCTGAGGTGAAAATTTATTAATTAGAGTTATGTCTGGCTGTGAGGGACAGAATATGCAAACAAACACGAACTTTCTTCATACATCCACATCTAGGCAGGCACCCCAGGATTAGTATGTTGTGCATGGGGCACACTCTCTATCCCACTGCTCTTCAGTGAATGGATATAATTCCCAAATCACCTCATGGCCCAAGATAGCTTGCTCTAGGTCCATTTTTTTTTTCCTAGATGGGATTTTGCTCTTGTTGACCCAGCTGGAGTGCAATGGCTCGATCTTGGCTCACTGTAACCTCCGCCTCCTGGGTTGAAGTGATTCTCCTGCCTCAGACTCCTGAGCAGCTGGGATGATAGGCATGCACCACCACGCGCAGCTGATTTTTGTATTTTTAGTAGAGCTAGCGTTTCTCCAGGTTGGCCAGGCTGGTATAGAACTCCAGACATCAGGTGATCCGCCCACCTTGGCCTCCCAAAGTACTGGGATTATAAGCATGAGCCACTATACCCGGCCGGTCCATGTTTTAAATGAAACTCTTAATTCAAAACAGCTTTTTTTCCATCAACTTGGCTGGTAGCTACTGTCCACAGCAGCTAACAGAGGCCTGGACAAAAGAGCACCAGCAGGACATCCACCTGCATGGGTCCCTTTGGGGAAGCCCTGCCATAGGGGTCAGAATTCTGACATGGCTTCAGTGACACAACCACAATGTGAAAGTTAAGAGATTTTAGTGATTGCAGACTCTGGGGGCCACATAGCATGCCTGGAGGTCAGGGAACACAGGCAGGGAGAGAGAGAACTGGACCCCTTTATTAGGTGCAGGACATGATCTAAATTGGTTTCCCACAGGGAATTTTGGTTGGTGGATTTAGAACAAGCAGGCATGAGTTCCACGCAAATGCAGAGATGGTCACTGCTGCATGTCTGCACAGGCCCTGCAGGGTGTGGGGGTCAGCAGGGCCAGTGGGGCAGGCTGTATCCAGTTGTTCCATAGTGAGCTGGTCACCAGGAGGCAGTTGTATAAGGCAGCCATCTGGATTGGCCACACAGAGGAATGGGTATGAAGTATAGAACTGGAAACTGTATTGAGGGTGACTGAGCCCTGCTGCTGGTATGGGAAAGTCCAGTTAATATTCAAAATTAATACTGAGACAAATAAAAGTATAAGCATTCATTATAGTGCTGCTATCACACCTGCACTCCAAGCATCAAAAAAGAGAATGGGGGCAAAGGGCACCTCTGTCTTAAAGGATGTTCCCAGGACATGCACGCACTACTTCCTCTTAAATCTCATTACCTAGAATTAAGTCACTAAAGGAGGCTGGGAAATCTAGTCTCCATTCCAAGAAGCTATGTGTCCAATTTTTATCCAGAGGACCTATTACAAAAAATAAAGGAAGCAAGAATGAATATTGGGCAACAACACCAGTCTCTGCCAAAGGCTACTTCATGCTGCTCCTGTGCACTGAGAACCACACCTTCTATGGTGTCTGTATGGTCAGTCCCACTGATGATGTATATAGCTCTGGTTTTCCTCATGCCCATTCCAGAAGTTTGAACAAAGGAGATTATATTCCATCTGGGGACTCTGTTATACTTCCTCTGAAGTAAGGAGGAAAGAGGATGTGGGGATTGGTGAGTACTTTCTGTTCTCCCCAATTTTTTGATAGTAATCCACATTTATTTGATGAATTCATACTGTAGGATATCCAGTTTTTAGACACTTCTAGAATTATAGGTATCGTTTGATCCTCACATTAGCCCTGGGTTTTTTTAAGATATAATTATCCACATTTTACAAATACAAAGATTGTTGCTCAGGAAGTTTTTGTAGCTGACCCAAGGTCAAGAAGCTAGGAAGTGAGAGTGCTGAGGTTTGTGCTTATGTCTCTGACTGCAAGTTCAGAACTCTTCCAGAGCACCATGCCAGCTTTATTCCCCTGTTGCTTGGGACAGCGCTGCCAACTGGGGCTATAGTCTGGTTTGACTCTTTGTATTGTCTATCTATTTATTTGGATTTCAGGGGACATGGAAATTTTCTTTGACATTCTTGATACTTTGATCCTCTGTTTCAACTTGAGAATTGGCCAATCAAATAATAAGAAAACTCTGGTGAGATGTTGGTTTTGATTCCATTGAATTTGCAGGAGATGCCATCTTTACAAAATGGAGTCCTCCCATCTATGAACATGGTATATGTCTTCTTATTTATTTAGGTATTCACTGATATTTTTCAATAAAGTTGTATGATTTTCTTTACCAATGTCTTGAGTATCCAGATTTATTTTTAAGTTCTTTACAGTTTTATTGCTATTGTAAATTTAAAAAATTCCTTTAAAAAAGCCAGCAAGGCATTTATTTTTTCTCATATAGAGCTGTTCATAGACGGGTGTTCAACAATGAGAACACATGGGCACAGGGAGGGGAACATCACACTCTGGGGTCTGTTGGGGAGTAGGGGGCTACGGGAGGGACAGCAGGGGATGGGGAGGTTGGGGAGGTTTAACACTGGGAGAAATGACTGATGTAGGTGATAGGGGGATGGAGGCAGCAAACCACCATGGCATGTGTGTACCTATGCAACAGTCCTGCAAGATCTGCACATGTACCCCAGAACTTAAAGTACAATTCAAAAAAAGGTAAGTATCCAGGATTGGTTGGGCATATTCAATTATGATGTTGAGGGTCCAGGCTCCTTAGTCTTTTGCATCATTTCCTGCCTGTGGCTGTTACTCGCTTGGCCACAAGATGGCTCCTCCAGTGTCAGGTAAGGGGTCCTGATTTCTGGCAGAAAGGGAGAAAGCAGAGGGGAGACAGTAGGGAAACCAGCCAATTCTTTCTGTTCCCATTGAATTCTCTCGACCCCTCATTGGCTGGGAGTGTGGGTTATCACAATCCTCAGTTGCAAGGAAGGCTGGGAGTAGCAATGGAAAACAAAACAAAACTGAGTTTCTGTTAGTAAGGAAGGAGGGAACAACTATGAGTGACCATGAGTGGCCTCTTTGTCTCCAGGAATGCTTGTAACCTTAAAGGCTGACTTTAATAGAGCCATACTAATTTGGTTGTATATCTTTTTCCCCATCTTTTTACTATTTTTCTGTATCTTTGCTTTAGTTGTGTTTCATGTAAATAGCATATGGATGAGTTTTATAAAAATAATAGTCTATATTGTATTTCAAATGGACCATTTTATCCATTTGTATTTATTGCAGTTACTCATAAACGTAATTTATAATCGTCATCCTTTTTTTTTGCTATGTCTCATTTTAAAAAGTATAGTCATGCAGATCTTTTAAGGACTTAGTTGAAGGTAAATTTCTCCAGGCAGAATTTGCATTTGTTTCTGACAGGTGTCAGGAGTCATTATCATCTTGAGGACCTTTAAATTATTTTCTCAGGGTTTGGGGGTTTGTCCAAGGAGTGAGAATTCCGTCCATTAAGTCCATGTTAGGGCCAGCTTATATTCATGAATCTTCATCTGACGCCTTTCACCAAGAGTTAACTTGTCATCTCTCTTGATGGAGTGGATTTTTCCCTCCAATTGTTCTCTGAAATTGGAGATTTATACTGGGTTCTTCACTGTGACTCTCCAGTTTAAGTGGTATTTACTGTCTTTCACATAGTTATTAAGTGCAGTTTTGGGTTGCAAGAGGTGGGCAGACGCCGTTAGGGCAGTGAGCAGGAAAGAGTTAACACAGGGGGCTGCCCTTTACCAGGTTTTGCTACCTTTTGCTGTCTTCTAGGAATTGGGCTTCTGGAATGTCCCTATGCTGATAAGGTGGTTTGTGTGCCTGTGTACTAAATTCCACTCTATCAGCTTGCCTGGACCGTACAATGTGATTTCAGATGGACACCTGCTTTTCTTCTGGGAGTCTGAAATTGCAGTAGCCGTGCAGGTGGAGAGGCTGCCTGTGTGGCCAGCTCTCAATCAAAACCCTGGTCTTGGAGTCCTAGGTGGGCTTCCCTGGGCAGAAACACTGCTGTGTTACTGTGCGGCCTCTCACTGTAGGAGGAAATAGGAAGCCTGTGCCTGGATTATTCTTCCAGAGTCCACCTGATGTGTTCCCTGCCCCCCCCACCTTGTGTATCCTTTTACTGTAATATAACTTAGCCATGAATGCAACTACATGCTGAGCCCTGCGTGCCCTTCAGGTGGAACACTGGGTACATGGGTGGTTGTGGGATGGATGCAGGCAGATACTGGCTTCTACTCTCTGAATTCTGGCTCCGACTTCTACTTTGGGCTTTGATGGCTTCCATCTTTTTATTGATAGTATAGTCATGAATTTAAAAATACATGATTCATATTTTATCCAGCAGTTTTAGGAATTTTTATGGGACAATTTGTAATGGTTTCTATCTTGCCATATTGTTGGATGTCCTTTCTTTATTGCTGGATGTGCTATAGGTTGTCTACTTAATCTTTTCAGACAGTCAAAATTAAAAAAAAAATTCTAATTCTTAAATTGCCAAGCATTCACCTTCTTAAATGTCAGTGATAGGGAGTGGGCTCAGAGTCTCAGCCCCCTTCATCCTTTATTTCTAGGCCTTTGAACCTACAGTCACCGGACCAGCCTCAAAGAGGGTCTAGCTCCAGGGCCAGCAACTCTAGCCTGAGGCAGGAGGTTGGGGAGCTAAGAGTGTCTGAGGTTTGCTGTCGGCTCCTTCTCCACTTCCTCCCCCAGCCAAGAGAAATTCCCGGGAATAACTAAGCAAGAACCTGGGCATGATAATGTGAGAGTTTATTATCACATGACTGCTTAGGAGGGGGCATGAAGCAGAGCAGGATGGGGAAGGGGTGCAAGGAATGGGCAAGCGCTGCTGGAGCAGGGCTGTGGCCGTGGTCCTAGGGGCAGGATAACTGGGGCTGTTGGAGAGTCTCTTTTCCCCAGTCGGGTTCTTCTTCCAGCAGTCAGATGCAGGGATGCCCAGTGCAGGCGCACCAGGTGCTATTATCAGGAGACGCATGGCTAGATTCCACTCATTCCAACATCTCCTTCTTGTCTCTTTTCTAAGCGGGGAGGAAGGGCAAGACAACTGTCAGGGGGAGAGAAAGGGTGGAGTCTCTCCTCCAGGGCAGCTTAGCTGTGAGCTACCAGAATCAGCTGCGTGGTACCTGATGCAAAGGCATAGCACGGATATGGACTTCCCTGGATTACTGGGCTCTTTGGCTTGGAGACCACTTGGTTGGGGACAGGGGCTTTCTGGACTGGGCCACCACTGGGGTAGAAAGACAGGCATGATAATACTTGGGATTTGTGTCATGGGCCCCTTTCTCCCCCCCAAGCTGTCAACTGTCCATTCCTGTCTCCTTTGAGCAGCTCCACTGCCCCAAACACACAGGCACACACTTGAGGAACTCACCTTTATGGCTGAGAATATTCTCCAGCAGTACAGCCCCAGAGGGGCCAGAGATGCCAGAAGCAGCAGAATCCAGACAGCCAAGAGCATGGCCTGAAGGGTAATAAAGAAGGCCTGGGGACAGAGGAGCCACGCTGTAAGCACCAGGATGACAGCTGCCTTCCTGCTCTGTCCCCATGCTCCTTGCTGATCTGGGTCAATCTCTATCCCTTTATCTCCAAGTTTGTGGCTTCAAGAGGTGAAGTCAATGCATCCAGTGTGCGGAACGCGGCTGGAAACCCCGCACACTGGGCCTGTGTCCTCATTTGCACAGTGACAGGTTTGGGCCATGGTTTGATTCCCTATAACCTCTAAGACTTGAGAGGACCAAGGGAAAACATGCATTTAACATCTTTGCACACTTACAGTATTGGTTCATTTATTCTTTTAATGCTTGTATTTCCCGCTAGTCTGTTAATACCCACAACTACAGGAGCCACTTCTGTTTTGTGTGATGCTTTGTCTTTGGTGACAATAATCAAGCTTGCTGTAACACCTATTTCTGGTGAAGAACCTGACTCTTGCCCCCAGCCTGGCCTGCCTGCAGGCCATCCCTGCCCCACCTGCTGCTGCCCTTCCCCTTGGCCACCTGCCTTCAGCATGTCCAGGAGGGAGGTACACAGTTGGAGCCTTCTGACTTCTTCTGGACTGTCAGTGGGGGCTGGGGTGTTGTACCAGTTACTGAAGGTAGAGATGTGGCACAAACTGTCGCCATAATAGTAGCCGTATTGGAAATCTTTGTTCCAAAGCTCGAGGGCAGCAATGGCTGTGGAGAAAGCTGCCAGCTCTAGCAGACTTCTCAGCAGAGACTGGGGAGGGAGGAGGCAGAGAGAAATCTTCGTGATTCTGTCTCTCCCAGAGTCCAGTCTGGGGAAAAGAGGGCAAGTCCCAGAGAAGCCTGTGATAGGGCTGGAGATTGGGGTGGCCTCCAGGCTGAGCCTGGTCCCCTCCCATGCCCTTCTCTGAACTCACCCAGTAGGTACCACCCCGTGTCTCGTAAATGAAGGCAGTAACTCCAGCCAGCACAGCCTGGGGAGAGATTGAGCCAGTAGGAGGCTTAGCACAGGGAATGCGAGCCCCCTCCCACGAAAGAGACTCTGTGCAGCAGGCCCTTCCCCAGCACACTCTGCTTGGGCCGGAGGTTTCATGCGAAGCCTTTTTATCCATGGTAATGTTAGCTGCTGAGAGGGTGGAGCCAGGATCCAACGCCGGAGGCCGCAGAAGGCCCTGCTTTAGTGATGCCTAAGAGCCTGTGGTCAAGCCAGGTGTGAGCCCCTCTTCCTTCTCTAACCCTTCCTTTTTAAACAACAGCAAGTGCTTTATCAAAGTTCCAGGGATGGTGGGATCTTGTAGATAAAGCCATAGGGTGCTGGAGAAGCTCTCAATAAAGGGTGAATCTGTACAGGGTGGGCACGTTTAGGTCTAGAAGCCTGTCCTAACAGTGCCCAACGATCCATTCAACTGGGCTTGAAGAACAGGAAATCTAGTATATCCCAGTGGACAGGTGGGCCTGAATCCTGTTTGGCTAATTCTGTAACTCATCCAGGTATTTTGCCATAGTTTGGGTGAAGGTGATTATCAGTAAATATGTGCGTTATACTGCTATTCTGAGGGTTTGGCACCATGACCAGTCCACCCAGCTCCTGTGCAAACTATACACACCCATCTATTGACAATAATTCCTGGATTCCTATTGTGTGCAGGGCCTGTGGAGGACAATGGGAATAACCAAGTGTGATGCTTCCTGGGCGCTTGCATACTATCTGCACATTCTGCCTCCGCCATCTCAACACAAGTATCCGGAGATGGGCAGGTCCTTAGATCCTTAGTTGACATTTACTGTTGAGGCGGGGAGAGGCAGGCAGCCTGATGGGAGCAGCACTGGGCAGGCGTTGGGAGAGCGGACAGTGTGACTAGGACACGCCGCCAGTGCCCTCCGCTGTTTGCTCATCTGTACAGGCAGGGAATGGGCCTAGATGATCAGATCTTTCTGACTGCCAGCATTCTGTGGTGCCATGTTGGAGGAGGGCAATCAGGAGAGCAATGTCCCCACACCTCCCACAGGTCATCGAGCACCAGCCTGCTCTACTCACCACTGCCCCTGTCCAGATGGCAGCTCCCGAGCTGACCAGGAGGGTGAACCTGCGCATGTACAGAAATCCTCCGAGGACCCCACTCAAGATCCCCAGCACGATCTGCACCACCTGAATGACAAAGGACCCAAGATCCTGGCTCCTAGGAGGACCTGCCCCTGCGGGGATTAACGGCTAAAACCCCAAAAAGAGAGGGTGGGGTGGGAGAGAGAGAGAGAAGAGAAAGAAGGAAGAGGAGGAGGAGGAGAAGGAAGATGGAGGTGGAGGAGAAAAGAGAAGGGAGAGGAAGGAGAGAGGAGAGTGGCCCATCTGGAGTTTGACCCAGAGGAGAGGATGGATTCAGGGCTCCACCAACTGGAACTCTCTGCATGGTCAGTGGCACCTCCACACCCCACTGAGCCCAGAGCCTCCCCTCCCCAGGCTCTTACTGAGAAGGCCAGAGAAGCACATCCCTAAGTTCAGAGGGAGGCTGGCAGAGGGTGCTGCTGCGGCAGGAGGGAGGCCCTTACATTGGTCTGCTGTGAGGGGACTAGGGAGTCCCTTCCGCAGCCCCATGAGGCAGGCCGCCACACTCACCCATGAGGCCACCAGCAGCCGGTTGCTGCCCCTGGCCTGGGTGGCTGGGGGCCGCAGCGCAGAGCAGCAGGTCAGCAGGAGCTTGGCCAGGGCAGATTCCTGGTGGATGTGCACATCAATGTGGGTGGGCTGTGGGGTCTCGGGGGCCATCTCACCACTGTCGGCTGTCCCCATGGTCAGGAATACCCTCTGTTAGGAAGGAAACACCAGGGAGGAAGGGCTGTCAGAAGACTTTTGTAGATTTCATTGGAGTTGGGGAGGCCAGGGGCCAGTGGGGCTCAGGGTCACCGAATGAATGGCTGTCCTGGTTACAGGGCCACACCTTGTCCCCCTCTCAAAGGGAGTGTGTGTAGCAGAGGGGGCTGATGACCATGATGGGGCTGTGGCGACTGTTGAGCCTGCGGGAACCTCCCCTTTTGCCCCAGATCTGCTCTGTCCCCAGCATCCTCCTCGAAGGGCTCTGGCGTCTGGGTCTAGCAGCGCCCCACGCCCCCACCCCTCACCCCCTCACCCCCTCCACCCGGGCTCTTCCTGTGGCCTCCCCTCCACAGCCTCCCCTTGGCTGCATGTGGAGCTCCTGTGGTTGCAGCCTCGCCCCAGCTGGGCCCCGGGTCCTCCACCCGCCACCCCACCGACCTCCCGCTCCAGGGATGGCTCCTCAGGCCCGACGGGTTCACGCTGCCCATTGCCCTGGGAAGGACCGCACGGCGGTGCAGAGGGAGGTCAGAGGCCGGGGCTGCACCCGGCCTACTCCGCAGCCCCCTTTTTGCAGTCTCATCCCCGGGTGGGGGGTCCCTCCTACCCTCCGCCAGCTGTGCGGAGGCAGCTCGGCGCGTGCTGAAGGAGGCCCGGGGGCCATCGGGAGTGGGGCGCCGCCTCACCTGCGCTCCTCGGGACCTTCGTGCGGGCGGCAGGAGGGCTGGGGCGGCGGCGGGAGGGAAAGTGTGTCCGGAGTCGGAGGGGTAGGCGGAGGCGGGGGTGGGGCTGAACTTCAGCCCCTCGGGTTCCCGGCAGGCGGCCGGCCCTGGGGTCCGTCTGAGGTTCTCTCGCTGCGCGTGGGTCACTGGGCTCTGGGGAGCTGGGAGGGTGCGCGGGCGGCCAGCGGGGTCATCCTCGCCCACAGCCCCACCCGGCCAGGGCTGGCGCGCAAGTGTGCGCGAGTGGGAACGCAGGGCGCGCGCGGGGGCTCGGCCTCCTCCCACCGGGTCCTCTCCTCCTGGCGGAACCCCCCTGCCGGGCCCCAGGCCGAAGCTGGTTTCGGGAAACCGTGCAGCCTGGGCGGGGCCGCAGCCCCCACCCCTGTCTCCGCCGTCCCCGCCCTCCCGCCGCTCCCCCCCTCTGGGTCAGCTCCTGCCGGCTCTGCTCGGCCGCTGGCTCCCCGAGGACGGCAGGTGAGGCAGGGGTGGGGCCGGGAGACCCTCTTGCCGCAGGACCCTCTGTCCCGAGGAGTCCCCAGGGCCATGCCCCCGACCCGTCCTGTCCACAGGACGCCTTTTTTCCTCCATCCTGGTTTCCCCGAGTACTCGCGTGGGAGGGTGCAGGAGGTGACCCCAGAAAAGCGACTGGAGAGCGGGAGGAGAGGCCTGGGCCTGGCGCGTCTCCTCCACCTTCCTCCTCCCCGAACTCTTGGCCCCTGGCTGGAGCCCTTCGGTGGGGTGGCTCCTGGGACGGGGCCAGGGTGTGGCGGGGCTGCCGGACGCTTTCCCTGGAGGGGGCGAGGCAGATCTAGGGGTTGACGTGGGGCGGGGGAAGCGGTGGTCCTGGGGGCCCGGAGGTAGCTGGAACCTGAGATACGCTCAGGGCAGGGCCCGGGCCTTCAAGGGAAGGTCTGGCTGGAATCTGGGGCTGGGCTTCCTTTTGTGGGAATCAGTCTGACTCTACTTTGTGCATTTGCGGAATTGTCAAACTCCTGTCCTTTCTAACCCCAAGGAGGCCAGGTGGGTGAAAGAGAGAAACGGCTCTGAAAAGTAAGTGGAGCACGAATGGGAGGTGTTATTCGAATTGTTAATAATATTGGATTTGAACTGTGATACTTAGCCAGGATGTCCATTAGAATTGCTTATGCAGGATTTATTTTAGAGCCAGGCAAGCTGATTCCAAAGTGCAGGTGAAGAAGTAAGCTAGCAAAAATGGCCATGACAATTCTGAAAGAAAAACCCCATGAGGGGATCATGAAACAGCCCCATTAGCTTTAAGTTCCATATTAAAATTGTGGTAATGATGCATAACCCATGAGACATGCCAACGGGCAGAATATAAAGACTAGGATAGGCCTACATTCCTAGGGGCGCTTCATTTTTGCTCAGGAGAGAATTTTAAATCAGTGAGGAAAAGAGGATGTATTTTCTACAAATGGAACATGTCCTTCAGAAGTTAAACATCTGAATGACAGCAACAGAGCTGGGATCCGTGTCTCCCAACGGCCAAGGTTGGGCTTCCAACTTCCAAATTCCAGATGGGTCAACATTTAAAAGTGAAAGCTGAAAGCGTAAAGCCACTTAGAAGAAAACATGGAAGAATTATTTTATAATCTTGAAACGGGGAAGTCCTTTAAAAGTATAAGAGCTAGACACCATAAATAGAATGAAACTTGAATTGTATGAAAATACAAGCAAGGTCAAAAAATAAACCACAAATTGTAAAGAAACATTTGAAACTCATATCACAGATGGTAATTTTTGTGAATAAAGAACTTCCATAAGAAACAAACAAACAAACAAAAACTTAGGATGTGAACGGGGAGCTCACAAAAGAAAAAATAAAAATGGCCCTTAATGTATGAAAAGACGATGAACCTCACTCATAATAAGAGAACTATGGGCCAGGCGTGGTGTCTCATGCCTGTAATCACAGCACTTTGGGAGACTGAAGTGGGAGGACTGCCTGAGTCCAGGAGTTTGAGATCAGCTTCGGCAACAAAGCAAGACCCCCAGCTCTCTCTCTAAAAAAGATAAAAGAGAACGGTGGATTAAAAATACGTGGGAATAAAGACTAAAAAAAATATATATGTGGAAATAGTTACAGAAAGCAGGTCGGTGGTTGCCTGTGGCCAGTGGTTGAGGGTATTTACTGGGGAGGGGCTTTAGGGAACACATTGCATTGTAGAAAAGTCCTATATCTTGATTGTAGCTGTAATTGCACAAATGTATAACTCTGTCAAAACTCATTAAGATATACATTTAAAATGGGACATCTTATTACATAGAATTGATGAAAATCTACAGTGGAATGCAATTTTCCCCATATAAATGAAAAAGATAAAAAGAGTTTGCCTCCTGCACATGAATTGCTACCACCTCCATGGAGGATAATTGACAATATCTACTAAAATTGCAAATGTACTTTCCTGTTGCCCTGCCAATTCCACATTGTCTGCAATGTAAAAGGATCAGAAATAACCTAAATGTCTACCACCAGGGAACCACTTAAATAAATTATGAGGAATTCATACTCTGGAAATGTAAGCAGTGACACAAATGACTGAAGAAGCTTTTGTGAAAGTTGTCAGAATCAGAATAGAGTCACTTGTGTTTTAAAAAAAAAAATCTGAAAATTAGAGCCTGGGAAGGCCCACAAGGCAGGATTCTCCTGTGTAAATACCTGGTAACAAAATCATCACAAAGAACTCTGTAAAATGATGAGCTTACATAAAGGCCATCACAATCTGACACAAAAAAGTGCTTCTGCAAGGACGTTCACCAGCAACTACCTGTCTCACCCTGGACTGGACTGTCTCACACTTGTTATTGGTCCTTATAGCCAGGGATAATCATCTCAAAGCAATTATGTAAGTCTCCCTGTTTTTTCTTTAAAACCTTTTGTCTTCCTTTACCTCCCTGAATGTGCACGTGATTTACTATGGCAAGCATATCCCCATTGCAATGCCCTATTCCTGAATAAATCTCATTTTCTTTTGGAGAGCCTCTCTCTGTTATTTAGGTTGACACTTTTTATGGATTCATGTAGGATTATTCTAAAAACATATGATGATGTGAACACAGCATCGTGCAAATCAATGTGTGTGGTATGCTGGTATTTGTGGGAAAAGTGGGGAGAAATACTTTTTCACACTTTTGTATGCAAAAATGTCATTGTAGGATTTATAAGAAACTGATAATATTACTTTCCATCTGCAAGACAAATAGTGTTTGAGGGAAAAAATGAGAGATAAGGTTTTAAAGGTATATATACCCTGTTGTATCTCTCAAATGTGTATGTGTAAAGTATTCTGTATGAAGATATATACACATATATACTGAATAACTGAGGTCACTGTGACATTGATATCTGTATTTCCAAAGGAAAGACTCGTTGGAGCTTGACAAAGACACTGTCTGTTTGTTTGTTTGTTTGCTTTTGAGACGGAATCTCGCTCTGTCACCCAGGCTAGAGTGCAGTGGCGTGTTCTTGGCTTGCGGCAACCTCAGCCTCCTGGGTTCAAGTGATTCTCCTGCCTTAGCCTCCTGAGTAGCTGGGACTACAGGTATGCACCACCATGCCCGGAGAAGTTCTGTATTTGTAGTAGAGAGGAGGTTTCGGCACATTAGCCAGGCTGGTCTTGAACTCCTGACCTCAAGTAATCTACCCGCTTTGGGCTCCCAAAGTGCTGGGATTACAGGCGTGAGCCACCGTGCCCGACTGGGATATTGACAAAGACACAGTTTCTCTCCTCTCACTCATGCCGTGTATTTTTCCCTCACCTGGTTCCCACACCTCACTTCTGTGTGTCTTCTCCCTGGCAGGCAGGATGGCCCAAAACATGGTGACCGTGAATGGTGTTGCTGTGTCCTCTACGCCATCCCAGCCCACCCACATCAATATCCACATCCACCAGGAATCAGCTTTGACACAACTGCTAAAAGCCGGAGATTCTCTGAAGCAGTTTCTTTTCCGTCCTGGCGACACTGTACCTTCCAGAGCCGGGATAAGTTATGAGCAGCTGGCTCTAGGGGTAAGAGTGGGCTGGTGGGGGGTTGGGGGTGCACATGAACTAGGTGATGAAGTCAATTAAAATATAGATCCAAATCTTCTAAATTAAAACATTTTACTTTAAGGAGAGAATTGCAATTTGGGATATACATACAGACCAGGTGGTCTCCAGTATGTCATTAGAACAAAGAGAAGGTCAGAGGTTCATAAAAAGGAGAAATGTTACATATTGCCCTCCAAGAAAGATCACTGGCTTTGGGGAGCTGGGCAAGCTCTGGTGGGTGAGCAATGGTGTGGGTAAAACTAGTCCTAGAGTTGTAGCAAGGAATCTCAGAAGCTGTAGGTAAAGCTGGTTTCGGGTTAGGGCAGGCAGCTGCAGCACCCTGGCTTGCAGAGAATTACATTTTGGGAGCAACATTTTGTGCCCTGAGTGCTTTTTGCCCCTGGTCTCTCGACTCTGTTTTAGTTGAGTGTGACAAGAATGATCCCATTTGCAGGCTCAGCTTTCATCATGGAAACTCTCCTCCGATAGGATGCACAAAAAGGAAAGTGGGTTGAATTCCCATGAAAGGGACATGAGAAATCACTATTTATATCTCATCTTGTGTAAGAAAAAGTTGTAAGTTTCCCCACAGAAATTTGGATGGAAAGGAAGAATCGACCTCTTCTTTGACACAGAGGAGTCGGTCTTAGCCAGAGGTGGGGCAACAGGAACAAGAGCCTAAAGGCTGTTAATTCAGTTTCATTTCCACATGGATTGAGAGCCTATAGGTGTAACACAATGTGTTTAGCACTTCAGGCCAAACTACAGAGACAATCCCTGGGCTGTACCTAAAAGTGCTCAGTGTCCTTCAGAAGGAACAGCAGCTATACCAATGGCTGGGACTAAAGTATATCAGGCGAGGGAAAAGCACATCTGATATCCTTGAGGCAGAAGAACCCTGAATGGAGAAGGAATAGGTATAGACAGAGCTGGAAGATGGACAAAAAAGAATTCCAGGTTAACGAATGGCAGGGGCAAAGGCAAAGAGGCCAGAAGGCGTAGGGCAAGATCTGTAATGGTTAAGGGTAGAGAGAATGGGCTTCATGATTGGGTGATTTGAGGCCATATTGCTGAGAACCTTGAAAGGCCAGGTGAGGAGTGTGTCCTGAATTAGCTTCGACAGAGAGAAGGTTGTAGATGGATTCTGAGCAGGAACCTGCTCAGAGTCAGGAGGCATCCAGACGAGAAGGATCAAGGGTCTGCACTCCCATAATCATACAGGAATGGTGAGGAGACAAAGAAGTCCCTGTCCTTTGTGGCTCTCCACGGCATGGGAGTGAAGGGGTTTGGGGCAGAAAGGCAGAAAGGCATCCACAACACGCAGAGGTTTGAGTGTGGGTGATTAGGAGATCAGAGCCCTGAAAGGAGAAGCAGAATTCGAGAGACGTGTGTGTGTGTGTGTGTGTGTGTGTGTGTGTGTGTGTGGTGGGGTGAAGGGGTGTGGGATTTGGATGTGACAAATCTGAGATGCCAGTAGGATGTGCAGGTGGTAATAGTTGGGTTCTCCAGGAAGGAGTTCTCTTCTGAGTCGGAGTTGGGTGTGTGAATGGCTTATTGGAGTCTGACACCTATAAAATGAGAAGGGGAGCATGATTGGTGAGGAAGAACTGTCAGGCTGCATTACAGACTCTGCCAGCCCAGCAGGGAGCTCCCAGGCAAAGGCTGCCCATTGCAGGTGCTCCACACGAGGTGGACATGGCCCTTGAGCCTCTGTCTTGCTTAATCATTGGCTGGGGGACCCTCCCCAGCGTGTGTCTTCAGCTTGAAAGATTAGGGTGACCTTGAAGGAGCTGACAACTATGCTTGCTCAGCAATCAATCACACAAGCCCTTTCTCGAAGGGGGTCTTAGCAGCACATCTTTGTGTCTGCCACAGAGCCTTCAAGAGTATTTGCTTGGATCTGAAGAGAAAAGATAGGGCAGAAGCTAAGGTCAGGCTGGGGGTTTGGATGGGACAATGGGACCTCTGAGGGAGAAAGGGAGAAAAAAGTGGGAATCTTCAGGTGGGATGAGAAAGTGTTGAAGTTGGGAAAAAGTGATGAAGGATAAATAGCCAAGCCTATGAGAAGGGTGAGGGGAGATCCAGGCCAGTGCTGCTTCGTGGATTTTAAGGGGACAGAACCTTCCAGAATCAGAGCTGCAGAGAGGTCAAGGCAAAGGAAAAGGAGAGGAAAGCTGCCTAGGTAGGAGCCAGGCAGTTGCTCCTGGGGCAGCTGGGGCACGGGGGCTCACAGGAGGGGCCTGGTTTCTCATCCTGTCTTGCAGATAACTCAGATATTGCTGGGGCTGGTGAGCTGTGTCCTTGGAGTGTGTTTCTGCTTGGGGCCCTGGACTGTGCTTCGTGCCTCAGGCTGTGCCTTCTGGGTGGGATCTGCGGTGAGTAAGGAACAGGCTGTGAGCCCTATGGGAGGCAAGTGGTGATGGGCAAGAAGGCGCTTATGGATCTAGGTTGGGGCTTTGGGGACGTGACCAAAGCCCCTGGGGCCAAATGGCCCTTGGCCATGAGGAAGCTTCCCTGGGGTGTGGATAAAACCCTGTCACTTCCATTGCTCTCTTGAAGACAGGTGGAAGGGGTGGGGCAGGTGTAGGTGGAGTCCCGTCTGTGTGTCAGAGTTCTTTGTCCCAGGGATCCTGCTTCACATTGACTGTCTGGGAACGTTGGTGGGAGGGTGGTAATAGATCAATTCAGAAGAGTAAACTGGAGGCCTTTTTCTGGTGTATTCTCTTTTCAGGCGATTGCAGCAGGAGCTGGGGCCATTGTCCATGAGAAGCGCCGGGGCAAACTTGCTGTGAGTCTTGGACACCCTCCCTCCTCCACCTTGTTCACTATCTCCCTCCTGAGTTCTGCTCTGTTATGTCTTATGCCTTTCGGTTGCCAATATCTCGGGGTCTTTCTTGGAGGGGAGGAGAGGGTTTCCTGGACAGGGGCTGCGGAAGAGGAGATGGGTTTGAGGCGGGAACCTCATGACTTTTCCACTGATTGAGAGTGCCTGTGTCTTGACCCTCCTTCTCTTCCAGGGCTACATATCCAGCCTGCTCACTCTGGCAGGCTTTGCTACAGCTGTGGCTGCTGTTGTTCTCTGTGTGAACAGCTTCATCTGGCAAACTAATGACCTTTCCTACATCGACACTGTGTGTGATTTCCCGGACCCTGTCATCCCTACCCCTGAGTACGGATGGATGCGACAAGCAAGTCAAGAGATCAGTTGGCAGAAGATAGACTGTAGAGATCACATGCAGTTGCTGAGGGTGAGCAGGAAGAGTCCGGTCTTCAGAGACCCACCACAGCTCTTTGCTCCCAGGGAGCTGGGGACGCTGGAGGATAGAGATGTAGGCACTTTGAGGTTGGACCTCATGCCAGGTCTTGTTCACAAGGTTTTAATGTAAGCTGCAGATATTTCTCAGACCTCATGACATGAAGATTCTCTGCATCAAAGAGGATGAAGAACAAAGAGGAGACATTTCATAGAGGAGCTAGTGGGCCACCCTTCTGGTTTTCCTGGTGTGTGGGTATCCCAGGTTTTCATTACTGAATTAAAAACCACCCCAAAATGTAGTGGCTTAAAATGACAACTTATTCTTTCTCACAGTACTGTGAGTTGGCTGGATTCAGATGGGCAGTCGTCACTTGCGGGTTTTCTCCTGCAGTTGCAGTCAGATGGGGGTGAAGTTATCCAAGCACTTGCCGAGGCTGGGGGTATGAGATGATGCAGCTGAATGACTCAGAGCTCGGCAGGGGTGTCAGTGAGAGCCTGTGATGGCTTCTCCATGTGGCTTGGGCTTCTCACAGCACGGAGACTGGGCTCCAATGGGGAGCACCCCAGTAGTGAGCATTTCAGGAGGCAGAAAGTGGAAGCTGCCAGGCCAGCTAAGGGCCACTACCCCTGTCACTGTATAGTGTCACTTTCACTGTGGCCAAAGCTGTCCTAGGCCCCTCCAGATTCTAGAGGTTGAAGGAATAGACTCCACTTCTTGACAGGGAGTGGTAAGGTCACTCTGCAGACAAGCCAGTGGGATGGAAGCTGTGGCTGGAAACACAGTCAGCTCTGGTGGGAGCTGCAGGCTGGAGAGAGTCAGCGCCTGGGTGGGTGGAGAGGGTGATGATGTGGGCAGCACTGGAGCAGCTGACAGCTGACTGTCTTTTTTCTTCCTTTATCTCCAGAGGTTGTTCACAGCAATCTGTGCCCTCTTCCTGGCTGTCTGTATCTTGAAGGTCATTGTGTCCTTGGCTTCCCTGGGAGTGGGTCTTCGAAACTTGTGTGGTTGGAGGAGCTCCCCACCCCTGGTGAGTTGTTGGGGAGAAGCCGCTGGGCAGTGCAGGTCTGGGTGTTGAGGGTGTGGGGCAGGTAGGAGTGCGGGGCCAGGGGCACCCGAACCCGAGGCTGGGCCTGGTCCCCCTCAGCTTCTTTCCATATGCAGCTCTCCCCTTTGCTGTCTGGGGAATGTGACAGTCACCAGCGTCCTGGGTCAACTCTTGCTGCCCTGTGCCTCTCTGCACCCTCCCCTGCCCTGATCTCCCCTGCACTCCCCTCGGCCCTGTCCCAGGTGTTATCCGACTCCCCTTCCTCTGCCACCTTGTTTTTTGCCTGATCTGCTTTCCTGTCACCTCTTCCTTTCCCTCCTCCTTTCCTCTTTCTGCTTTCTGAGTTCTGTGACTCTAACTCCGCCTGCATCCCTTTTCCCCTAAGGATTTCTTTTTCTTTTTTTTTTTTTCCAGGATGAGGAAGGATCAGAGAAGAGGCTATTGGGGGAGAATTCAGTGCCCCCCTCTCCCTCTAGGGAGCAGCCACCCCCTGCCATGGTCCTGTGAGCTGCCAAAGACCCCACCGGGTGCCTGCATGTCCCTGTCTGGGCCAGCCCAGGGCCCCCACTGCCTGGTTCCTCACACTGCCTCCTCTGTGGCCACTGTCCAGCCCCTGCTTTCTTCTCCCCACAGCATTGGCACCTGCTGTTCCCACTCTGCGGTTCTCAAGTCCAGTAACAGATATTGTCGCATTTTCCCCAATGCTGATTAAACATAAACAATCCAGAAAAGCAATTTTGCCCAGAAAGATGTGGTTTACACACGTTGTGTACTCTGAGAGGCCTTTCTTTGTGTCAATATGTATGAAGTTAAATGGGAGCTGATGTATCTCATGGAAACACGGTCCCAAGAAGACTAAATCTAATTATGTTCTGTTCCACATCCCAGGTAGCAAAACTCCCCTTTATGGTTTTCTTCAATTCAGGGTAAAATGGAAGGAAGTATATTGGGCCTGGAATCTCCTTACCTGCCAAGATTGTCTAGGGTCCTGCAGCCTCGGCCTGCAGACTTTAGAGAACTGTGTGGAGCATGGAATGGGACTTTGGCCCCCTCCTTCCCTGTCTTCTTTCCCTTCTCTTTTTTTGTTTTGTAGTAATTAGTGTTGGCTCCATCTCTTTTCTGTTCTCCACACACACATAAACACATTCTTAGTCTTCTTTTCTTTCATTGCAAATGATAACAAATTGATTTTGACTTTTTCCATTTTCTTTATATATGAAGATATAACAAATATATAGATGTAAGCGTTTCTGAAGGTCAGGAAAGCTGGGAGGGGCTTTGTGAAATCTCCATGAAGTCAGTTTCATTACTGAGCAGCCCCACAGGGAGGGTATTCAGATCCAAGCTGATAGACGGCAGGACCTGCCCCTTCCTCCTGGCAGAGCGGGTGCCACGGAGGCGCAGAGCTGCTGTGCTGGGTGAGACCCGCTCCCGCACAGGACTTGGAGTGGAGGCCTGTACCAAGGTCAGTGCTGCAGTGCTGCTCTCCCTGGGACCCTCAGCAGTCTGTGCTTTACGTAGAGGTTTGTTAAGAAGCCTTCGAGACAGAAGTGTGTTCAGAATATGGACAGGGTCAGCCGATTACAGCCTGAGGGGCAAATCCAGCCCGCCATCTAATTCTGTAAAGATAAGTTTATCGAAACACAACCATGCCCATTTGTTTCCACATTGTAGCTGTTTTTGTGCTACAAAGGCAGAACTTAGGAGTCTAAAGAGACTGGCCCACAAACCATAAAATATTTACTATGAGGCTTTTTACACACAAAGCTGGTCCTGATGTAGAAGCTTGCAGTGGAGGGAGTGTTTCATTCTGTTTCGTGGTTGAGGGGGTGGAATGCTCAAGAATCCCTCCCCAGAGGAGGCAACCTTGGATGAGCAGCAGGTGTGAAGCCAGCTGGTTTCCTCATTTTTCGGGGTCCAGAGCCCATAAATCATCACGTGGAAAAACTTGGGCTGAGAACCACTGCAGTTCCAATCCCCACCTTTAGCCCCCGGTAAAGAAGACATTAGAATCTCAGAGGAATTTAGAACCTCCTGAACCTCGACATTTATTTTACCCCCAGCAATGGCATCACGGAAGCTCCCAATTCTCTGCTAAACAGGCAAATGTAAAGTGGCTGAGCCCAGAAGCCACGCAGGGTTGAAGTGGATAATGTGGAAAGAGCCGCATTAGAAGGGCAAGTGCCTATCGGGCCCCACTTAGCCAGGCTCCAGGAAATGCTCAACCCATCAAAAAATGTGGATGGCTGCTTTTCTCCAGGTCTCATGTTTCCACACATCTCATGAGCAGTGGCACTGACTGGCTTTTCAAAGATGTTCGCACCTCCTAGTGGGCAGCCTTGGAAAATAGTGTCTCCTGGACCAATAGTGTTCAGGTATGATTGCCTGCTATAAAAGAATCAGGTTCCTTAAGCTCAGGGCTCCTCTTCTAGAACCCAGCCCACTGGGTGTGCTGGTGTCACCCGCAATGCCTCTTTGTCTTGCCTGTGGGAACTGGGGTTATTGAACCCATGCAAAAATGCTGCTACTGTGGCCACTGCTATTGCCATGTATAATGAATTGTTCTTTGTTACAACTCAGGGTTTTGTGGCTTCTACCAGCATCCATGCAACTGTGGTAGACTGACTTGCTGACCTACATGTACAGTTAGACCTCAGACCCTTCACTGTTCCTGACTACTGTGCCCTGCTGTGTGCAGGGTTATGATACACACAGACTTGAGACAGCTTCTGACACCAACAAGTTTACGGTCTGCTTAAGAGGCAAGGCATAAACCCTTTACTACAAAGAATGAATATTACTTGACTGCCAAGTTAGTGATGCATCAGGCAGGAAGGTGGTGTGCTTATGCTTGCTGAAGAACTGTAGGAAGACGAGCAACATGAGAAAGGAGAATGCAAAGCAGCAGACACTCAGGGGCAGAGCACCCTGAGCTTGCCATAGTTCATGTCATGGACAGCCATGAGAATGCAAAGTGAGCAGGGCTGCTCACACCTCAGTGTCCGTGGGTACATTTGACAGGACTGAGTCACTTGCCCACTCGCCACCCTGCCTCCAAGGAACAGTGGCCAAAGTTGGGCAGGGGGGTGTCTCTTAGTTGTCCCAAATATCGACATTCAGGACTCCATCTACAAAGATCTTAATCTACACTGTAGAATGGACAGAAGGCTGGCCCTCTGGCCTGGAGAGTACCAGAGCCCTTGAGACAGGGGGGAGACCATTCATTCTGTGCTTCTGGAGAAGGGTGGGAGGTGGTGGACGTGAGCGTGAGGGGCTGAATTTGTGTCCCTTCCAAATTCACATGCAGAAGCCCTAACCCCTAGTAGTTCAGAATGTGACTGTATTTGAGATCGGGTCTTGAAAGAGGTAATTAAGTGAAAATGAGGTCATTGGGGTGAGCCCTCATCCAATATGTCTGATGTCTTTATGAGGACAGGCAATTAGAATACTGACAAGCCCAGCGGGAAGGCCACAGGAGGACACAGGGAGAAGCCAAGGAGAGGCCTCGGAGGAACTCTGCTGGCACCTTCATCTTGGGCTTCGGCCTTCCAGTACTGTGAGGAAAGAAATTTCTGCTGTTGCTGGGCATGGTGGCACATGCCTGTAGTCCCAGCTAATTAGGAGGCTGAGGTGGGAGGATCGCCTGAACCCAGGAGTTTTGGGCTGTAGTGTGCTATGCCGATCTGGTGTCCATACTAAGTTCAGCATCAATATGGTGACCTCCTGGGAGTGGGACCACCAGTTTGCCTAAGGGGGTGGTGAACCAGCCCAGGTCGGAAACGGAGCAGGTCAAAATTCCCGTGCTGATCAGTAGTGGGATCGCCCCTGTGAATAGCCACTGCACCCCAGCCCGGGCAACAAGCGAGACGCCGTCTCTTAAAAAAATAATAACAATAATAAAAAAGAAATTTCTGCTGTTTAAGCCCCTCACTGGGTGCTTTGTTACAGGGGCCCTAGCAAACTCAGACACTAGGAGATGGGGACAGCTTGGGACAGCCTGGGAGGGGATCGGGTGTGCCACAGCACTGTGTTCTCAAAATCCCCTCCCTGTTTACTGTTGAGGAGCCCTTTGGGGAACCCCCGGGTTCCCCACAAAGGGGTGCCTCTCATGGTGTGGGACCACACCTGCCTTTGCCACAGCTGAGAGCTGCAGCTCCCAGGGGTTGGTGTTCCTGGCACATCACCCTGAGGTCTCATCACATCCTCAGGCCACCATTGCCTCGTGTTCCCCGATCCCGCCAGCCTCTCCCCTCCCTCCACATCTGACTCCTGAGGGTCTACAGGACATCTCCTCACTCCCTAAGTGCTGCCTGAAGGGGCACCCCACCACCTTTGTCCTCACAAAATACATCTCTTCTAGTGTCATCTCTATAATCACAGGCAATTCTAGCACAGTCTCTTCTAACATAATTTCCAGTAAATCTCCCAGGCTTTTCTGGTATAATCTCTTCCGGGAGCTCAGATGCTAACAAGCCAGGAAGAGCAGCTTCTGCTTTCTGCTTTGGATTTCAGCCAAAACTGTCAGAGGCAGAGAGAGGCTTCTGAAATGTCTTTCCATCGAGGGCCCAGCTATACGGTCAAAAAGAGGAAGTAGAAATACTTGGAAATCAAGAGCCACTTAAGTCTTCGTTATCTCGTCCTGATGACGTTCATAGCTCCTGCTGAGTGTCCTCTCTCCCCTGGAGCAGAGTGTCTCCTGCCACTCTCTTCTGAAATCTTGTCTTTCTGTTTCCACATAGGGCAGATGACTCTGCTACCATGGAGTGAGGCTTTGCAGGAGCTGCCCTATCTCAAACTGGGCATGTCTGTTCCTTGGGATGTGTCACTGGAACAGATGGGGTGAAGGAGGGAGAGACTGGCCAGGGAGAATGAAGGAGTAGTAGAAACTCTATCCTGCTCTCTCATTGTGAGGGCTTTGGGGGCAGGGCACAGGATTCTCTGTGCAGGTCACACCCCCCATGGGATGGCACAGTGCTGATCTGTTGGCACTAGCAGAGCAGGTAGTACGGGACACGCCTGGTCTAGGCTAGAGGGGAGGGAAGATGGCACAGTTTATGGGCCCATCATCCTGAGCTTCTCCATGGACTGGGGGAAGGCAGGGGCCATGTTTTTCTTGTATTCACCCTCCTAGGAGTTATTAATAAATATTCACTCAATAAGCAACAATTTTTTTAGAGACTAGGGAAAAAGTTGATTTTTTGTCACTTCTATATTCTGTAAAAGAAAAATTTGGACAGACAGTGGGTGGTCTCAATTCTTGCTGCTTAAGGTGTGATCCACTGGCCTGCCTGGGCAACCCTGGGAGCTGGCTAGAGATGCAAAGTCTCCTCGCCCCAGACCAGCCGAGTCAGAACCTGCATTTTCACAAGATCCTAGCACTATGTGTGCTCTGTACGTTTCAAGTGGCACTGGTATGACTATTACAGCAAGGTGGTTTGCAGGAGAGAATTCAGATACAGGATTAAATCTCTTTCATTCTTTTCATAAACTTGTTAACCTTGGAATTTTACAACAGAATTCTAGTGGTGGCCGGGCGCAGTGGCTCGTGCCTGTAATCCCAGCACTTTGGGAGGCCTAGGTGGGCAGATCACGAGGTCAAGAGATAGAGACCATCCTGGCCAACATGGTGAAACCCCATCTCTACTAAAAATACAAAAATTAGCTGGGTGTGGTGGCACATGCCTGTAGTCCCAGCTACTTGGGAGGCTGAGGCAGGAGAATCCCTTGAGCCTGGGAGGTGGAGGTTGC